GCGCGCACAGCGCGCTCTTGCGTTGTCATGCTTGTTCTGCACGCCACGTTGTGTAGTCTCCCTGCCTTGTGCATGTTGTGGTCTCGCCATGTCACACTTGTGATGCTCTTAATCTCTGTCTTGGGCTGCTCCCGCAACCCACTTGGGCTGGGCCTTCATGCCACCAATAGCACCTGTTCGAGGCCGCTGGCTAAAGAGGCGCCAGTAGGCGTTAAAGATCGGGGCCGCCCCGCGGGTCCTGTGGCCGTCGGCGGCCCGCCGTCCGCTTTGTCGCCCGCCCGCGACGTGGTTTCCTCGCCCCCCTTCCCCTTCTCCTGCCCGTCCAGGGTCCCGAGCGGGGGTCAGGCCGTTTTCCGCCAGCACAAGGTTCGGGTCCCACGCACCTGGAGCCGTTGGTTTCAGCCTTTAGTCTTCCTGTTTTACCTTTGTCCCGCCTTGGCAGTCGGCCGCCCCATTTTGGTTCGGTGTACAGCCTCTCCCCCTCCCCTCTCTTCCTCGGCAGCTGTTTGGCTCGTGAGGCCTTGTCTCGCACATTCTCTCGAGCTGCACCTCCCGTGCCATCCACCCGACCAAGGGATGGCGCCCAAGTTCTCGAAGCCTGCGCCGATGCCTTGGCCTGCCAAGACGTGCGCCGCGGGAGAGGCACCAACATCCAAAGCAAGGCCGACGCAACGTCCTGCCCAGCAGGTAAGCGTGTCGGAGAGCGAAGACGAGGAGTTCGACATGATGTCCGAGGCGGCGACCTTTCGGACGGCGCCGGCAGTGCACGCGGAATCAGCGACCCCCGCTGAGGACGCCGACGGAGGCGGCGGTACGGGGGCCGCCCCCAGTGCCGCCGCCTCTGATGGCGCCTCGGTGATCCCCGCATCGGCGGTGGTGCCAGTGACGGCGGCCGCCCTTGCAGCGGCAGCCACGTATGCCGACTTCACCACGGAGCAGCGCCGCGGGCTGGACGCACTCACCCTGGCGCCCCACAACCTTCAGCTGAAGGAGCAGGCTGTGGGCGGCCGCGGCGGCCGAGGCGCGCGCAGCGCCGCTGGCGGCGGTCGCGCCGTGGACGACGAGACCGCCAGCGAGGCCCCGAGTGCTGCGACCACGGGTGCCCTCAGTGGTCATGGAGGCAAACGCCACCGCCGACGCAGCAACAAAGCCGTCTACGGCCAGGCCCCCCAGTCGAGCGACGGCGCACCTGCCGCGCTCGAAGACGCAGAGATGATGACGGAGGAAGACTACGCTGAGGCGGGCTACGTCCACTGCATGGGCGCGTCCTGGGTCCCGCGGCGCCGCTTGGGCTGGTGTCGGAGGTGCACGGAGCTGGACGACCTGGAAGATCATGGCGGTGGAGTACGTGGACGAGCTCAGTTGTGGGGAGATGCGCCGCTATGCGGTGGCCAAAGAGCACAACCAGCAATACCCCGAGCTGAGGAAGGGCAAAGAGGGGCAGTACAAGCTGTACATGTGCTCGCGCTGCGTGGCGACGACGCAGGGCATCTCCGAGCACGAGGCCGTGACGCGCGCTGCGCGCGCGAACAAGGGCCCAGGCTCCATCGACCATGCTGCCAAGCGAGTGGCGAAGTTCCGTGCGAGCTTCGACTACATCAAGGAGGGCATGGCCGTCCTGGTGGGGTTCGCGCTCTCAGAGGAATGCTTGCTGGCCTTGCGGAGGTCAACGGAGGGCGTGGGGGTGGGCATCGACCCCGAGAGCACGGGCGCCCCCCCAGCCACGGAAGCAGTGGCGAAGGAGGTTGGCCGCCCGATGGCGAGGGAGGTGGGGGTGGTGCCAGGGCCGCCCCGTGCGCCACCCCGCCCCTCGAGGAAGAACCTCCCAATGATGAGGAGAACGACCCCCAGCCCGACGTCGACGCTGAGGACCAGGAGATCCAGCTGACCGACGTCAAGACCGTGAAGGAGGTCACGGACGTCGAGCCCCTGCTGCGGCTCGGCCTCTCCAAGAAATCGCTGAAGCGCATGGCGCGGGCCTGTGGCGTCCTCAAATTCGAGACCATGCGCGCCCACATGCTGGGCGGCCTGGGGCCCATCCTGGAGAAGAAGGATGACATGGTGAGGGGCGCCGAGGCGCAGGACGGAGTCCAGAAGTGGCTCGACGCGCTGAATGAGGAGGCGGAGGAGGATGTGGGAAGGTTGAAGAAGGGTGTCCTGGAAGCCTCGGGGATCGCAGACGCCCACCTGGGACACAAACGTGCTTGGAGGGAGGAGAGCCAGGGCAACACCGCGGTGCAGGAGGCCTACCGCCGCATGGGCGACTAGACGGACCAGTTCTACCGTGGCAAGGGGTTCACGTTCAACATGTACTACAAGTGCGCGGCCAACAAGACCTGGGGCAATCCCAGGGGATGCTGCTCGGTGATCCGATCGGATCGCTGGTCACAGCTGCTCTCATGCGCACAGGAGGCGGCGGGAGAGACGGGCCAGCGCTGGTACTGCCACTGCGGTGCGCGCTACTCGACCTCCTACGGAGTCTGCATCGAGTTCATAGAGGAAGAGTCGAACCCGCCACGCGCGTACTACATGCACGCGGAGCACCCCGAGGAGGACATCCGTGACTTGAAGGCCCTGCTGCGCTACGACAAGCTCAAGAAGGAGGGGGTTTCAGTGGTCAACGCGGTGGACCTCCTGAGGTACCTGCCCAAGGTCGAGCCGCTGGCGGTGGGCACCGTCTTCAAGCGCTACGCTCCACACCGGCCACAGTGGGAGGGCCACTATGTGCTGATGGAGGGGCTCACCTGGGAGAGCCTGACCAAGTTCGAGTGGACCGACCTCTACGCGCAGGTCGCCTGGGGACTGAACGACCCAGAGTGGGCGGGCTACAGCAAGAAGGCGCGGAACAAGGCCAAGAGGGAGCGCCTGGAGATGGCGCACAGGGGGCTGGCGTTCTACGAGCGCCGCCACAACCTGCGGGAGGGCAGCCTCTCGGGCGGCGGGGGTGGTACAGGGGTCGCCCCGCGTGCCGCCCCCGTTCGCGCCGCCAGCGCCCCCCCAGCGGGCGGGGCCCGCGACAGCCAGGACCCGCCACCACCGCCTGTCGGAGTCCCGCCAGAGGCCGCGGCCATCATGGCCCCTCCGCCGCCGCCGCCGACGGCGCCCCCTGGGGTGCCGCCGCCGCCGACGCGCCCGCCACCGCATACGGACCCGCTCCCGCAGCAGATCCCAAATGCTGCTGCCCTGAACGTGGCCCTTGGTGAAGACCTTGAGCGCCAGATCTTTGGGCCCTCAGGGCAGGCGGGGGGCAGTGGCGACAACTGTGGGGAAGTGCAGGCGCTGCCGTCGCAGGTCTTTGCAGCCATTGCGCAGGGAGCAGGCCAGCAGGCCTGAATGATAACGCCCATCAGGGTTCAGGGCAGGGCCTCGATAGGCCACGTGAGTCCATGCCAAGTTGCCTTGCTAGCCACTTTCAGTAGTGCGGCGCGCCCACAGCGGCGCCCCCCTCATGTGGCTGCACCTGTGGCTTTAGCCTCTGCTCTGCGCATGGCCACCTGTGCGCCCAGCCACTGTGGCTCGCCAACTGGCTTGCCACCTCGGCCTCCTTACGTTCACTTGCGCTCATTGGCCTCGCTGGCGGTGCTGGGGCAGCCCCGTGTACTGTCGCGTCGCCGTCGGGCGCCTGGCCATGTTGGCCTGCCATCTTGGCCTCCTCTCGCGCCTTCTAGCGCTATTAGGCCTTGATGGCGGTACTGGGGTCGCCCCGTGTGCTGCTGCGCCACCGCCAGCGCCTTACTTTTTTGCTGAAGGGACCAGCTGCCTTCGGCCAGGCGCCTGCTGCTGCAAGCACGTCAGACCCGCCCTTGGCTTGCCATCCAGGCCTCGTCTCGCGTCTTCTCGCGCTAGTTGGCCTGGGTGGCGGTACTGGGGTCGCCCCGTGTGCTGCTGTACCGTTGCTGGCCCTTCACTTTGGGCCGTTGGACCAGCTGCCCATAGGACAATCGCCTGACGCTGCAAGCATGTCAGACCCGCCCTTTCACCCAGAAGAGGTGCGCGCTACATACTGGCAATGGGGCAGCCACAGGGGCGCTCTTCCCTAGGTGGTTGAGCCGTGGTGATGTGGTGCACGAGACCGCCAGTAGTAGTAGTAGTAGTAGTAGTAGTAGTAGTAGTAGTAGTAGTAGTAGTAGTAGTAGTAGTAGTAGTAGTAGTAGTAGTAGTAGTAGTAGTAGTAGTAGTAGTAGTAGTAGTAGTAGTAGTAGTAGTAGTAGTAGTAGTAGTAGTAGTAGTAGTAGTAGTAGTAGTAGTAGTAGTAGTAGTAGTAGTAGTAGTAGTAGTAGTAGTAGTAGTAGTAGTAGTAGTAGTAGTAGTAGTAGTAGTAGTAGTAGTAGTAGTAGTAGTAGTAGTAGTAGTAGTAGTAGTAGTAGTAGTAGTAGTAGTAGTAGTAGTAGTAGTAGTAGTAGTAGTAGTAGTAGTAGTAGTAGTAGTAGTAGTAGTAGTAGTAGTAGTAGTAGTAGTAGTAGTAGTAGTAGTAGTAGTAGTAGTAGTAGTAGTAGTAGTAGTAGTAGTAGTAGTAGTAGTAGTAGTAGTAGTAGTAGTAGTAGTAGTAGTAGTAGTAGGGGGAGGAGGAGGAGGAGGAGGAGGAGGAGGAGGAGGAGGAGGAGGAGGAGGTGGAGACGGAGGATAACGAGGTGGGGGAGGATGGGGAGGAGGAGGAATAGGAAGAGGAAGAAGAGGAGAAGGAGAAATATGATGATGATGACGATGATGATGATGCTGCTGATGAGGATTATGATGATGATGATGCTGATGATGATGATGATGATGATGATGACGATGATGCTGATGATGATGATGATGCTGATGATGATGATGATGATGATGATGATGAAGATGATGATGATGATGTTGATGATGATGATGATGATGATGATGATGTGGAGGAGGATCAGGAGGGGGGCGGGGGCTCGTCGGTGGCATCTGGGGGCCGTGAGTCTGAGGGCGTCGGTGATTGATGTGCGCTACGGCGCGCCTCCCTCTCCGTCGCTTTCCCGCCGGAGCCCCGACGCCCGCGGGGCTGCGGCGGGCGCGGAACTATTGGATTTTCGGGCGGGCGGACGGACCAACGGCACTGGTACCTGTTGCCTCGCCCGTCGCCCCCCCGAATATTAATAGTGATGGTGGGTTGTGCGCCCACCATTTGGCGTTGTGGTGTACACACATGCGTTGTGGTGCACGAGGCATTGTGGTGTCCACAGGCGATATGGTGTACACACAGTCGTTGTGGTGCACGGGGCATTGTGGTGTGCACAGGCGATGTGGTACACATGGTTGCCGTGGTGTACATACACTCTGGTGCACGCAGGCACTGTGGTGTACACGGGCGCTGTTGCGCACGCGGCTTCTGCAGTGTACACAGGCACTGTGGTGTACACAGGTCGGGCGCGCGGCTGCTGTGGTGTACGGAGGCACTGTGGTGTACGCAGCCGGCGCTCTGTTGCACGCAGGCATTGGGCATTGCCGTGTACAAGGGGACTGGCGCGCAGGCACTGGGCATTGTCGTGTGCGCAGGGCGTGTGGTGCACACATGCGATTGGTGTGCCGGTGGCGCGGACCCACTCTGGCGGGTGCACGTCGCGGCCGCCGTGACGTTACCCCCCTGGCCCCTCCCCCCCACCCCCCTGGGTAACACGTGTTACCCCCGATGGATGAAGAACGATCTCCGTCCACAGTGGGAGCAAGAGCGCCTGGGCCGGTGTCTCCCGGAGGGGCGGAACCCTGCCCTGAGGGCGCCTCTCCGAGATTCGCTCGAGAGCTGCGCGTCCCCTCCTCCCCCTTTCCCTCCTGCTCCCTCCTCTTCCGAACTTTTTCCCCCTCGTCCCCTCCCGTCTCCCCCACCTCTCTCTCCTTCCCCTCCTCCCGCTTGCTCTTCTTCCTCTCCTCCGCACGCCTCGGCCTCCCCATCTCCTGGAGGTGAGGAGCGGCACGGCGCGTGAGAGGCTCGCGGGAGGGGAGGCGTCCCTGGGAACCTGCAGCCTGTTCGAGACGGGCAACTACGCTGCATCTTTGGGCGCGCGCGCGGGATTGTTTTTTCGCTCACTCTTCTTCCAAACCTGTTTCTGCGGGTTCTGGTTCTGGTCTGGCTGTTTCTGCTCTGAAAGAGAAGCGAGCACGTGAATCAACTGGACATCGCACCGTGTCCCGCATGCATGGTGTCCGGATTGTTTCCTAGCCCTTCTTGGTGGTCTCTTGGGGCGCCTTTTTGGGGCCACTTGGCGCCCTCCTGGTGGCCGATCGGAAGGTTTTTTTGGGGTCTCTTGGGTTGGGCTGTCTTGGGGCCCTCCTGGGCCGCTCTGGGGTACTCGTGGGCCGTCTTGTTCTCTCTTTGAGGACCCTCCGGGGGCCCTCTCTGGCTGTCTCGGGGCTCCTTTGAGCCCTCTTCGGGCAGACTTGGGGCCTCTTCGGTGTGGGCCCTCTTGTGGCCTCTTGGGGGCCTCTGGGGTCGTCTTGGAACCCTCTTGAAGGCATCTTGCGCCGTTTTTGGCTTCTGGGCGCCGTATTAAAGGGAGCTCGAGAAGATGTCAAACACATAAGGGAAACTCATGATTCTGGCTTCTGGGAAGCCCTCTTGGGGATGAACTTGGGGCCCTGGTGTGGCGCCGCTGGGGCCTCTTTGGCCGTCTGGTGGCCATCTTGGGCCGTCTTGGGGCCCCCTTGGGCTGTGTTGGGCTCGTGGTGCCGTATTCGAGGCCTCTCGGGTTCTCTGATGGTGCGGTGGGGTGGCGTCCCTGGGGAGCTTGGGGGGAAAATCAGATGGACATGTCAAGAATCTGTGCGGCGCCGCGTGCCCCTTCAGTAGACAGGGGAATGGAGGCAGGGCTGGAGAGACAACAGACAAAACAGCCGACAACACAACCATCACAAGGCAGCAGCCTAGCAGGAGCCTTCAAAGCCTTGCGTCACCAAGGGACTGGCGGGTTTCGAACCATCTGAAAACAGTAGTAAAGTGCGTGTGAGCGTAAGGCGCGCCAAAAGAGAGTCCAACGCGAATCAGATATCGTACAACTGGTGCGCAATTGTGAGTCTAGCGTGAACCAACCGTGTGAGCCGACTGTGTAACAATTGGACACCTATCTTAGATGCGCGCATCATCCAACGCCGCTCATGTCCAAGTCAAGCGATTCATCAAATCTGATGCGTACGCGGGGCAACGCGACGTAACTGTGTTACGAGGGCGCGGCTGCGTTGTGTCGTGGTGTCGTGGTGTCTACTCCTAATCAGCATAGGGGAACTGCACGAACGCAGTGTAAAATGAACATCGTTTCACTGCGAATCAAGTGCGCATCAAGCATTGTGCAGTTTGATCTTCTAGATTGGTGGAAGGAGCACACCTGTATGGGTCAAATACTAATCGGGTGTGAACATGTGTATCAGTCGCGAATCATGCGTGGTGGACACGTAATCTGTAGCGAATCAGTATCGTTTCAAATTTGTTGGCCCCTGTTCCCCAGTCCTTTGATCGGACCTCTTACCGGTCTCCTTTGTGTGTGCGTGTGTTCTTTTGTGAATTCGTGATTGCGGCGCACTCTCTCCGTCTTTCTTTTGTTGTTGTTTCTTTTTTATCTTTCTTTCCTCGATTTTGAGTTTGGGTCTTGTCGACGTTTCCTTCTTACTTCGACGTTCTCCTTTAACACTCTATTTAAAGGTACTTTTGCTATGATATCATGTTGCTAAACACTTACTCGATAACTCTAGCCAGACGGGCGCCAGCCCTTTGATCATTATCATGTGATTTCTTTCGCATGGAATTTGTTTTGTGTGGTTATGGTATCTTCCATGCACCTAGAAGCGAGGCCGTCTTGTGCCGCTGTGTCCGAGTCCGCATCACCCACCTTCAAGATCCAATTAGATCCGATCGATTCGATTTCGTTGTCGACCGGGCCGATCTTATTCGATTTCTATTTTCAAGCGAGCTGATGCGGCCTGATGATTGCTGCAAGACGCAGTTTTGCTTCCTGGCGCAGCCCATCCGATTCGATTTCGACTCCGTGCCGATGCAGCCCGATTTGAAGCACGTTCCGATTCGATCCGATGCGGACTTATCTTGCCTTTTTCCCCTTCGCAGTAGGCCGCGAAGGGCGCGCTGGAACAGAAGTAGGGAAGCGAGCTTCGAAGGGGCCACGCGCCGGGTGGTGGTGGCCCCTGGAAAAGTACAGGGGCCCCACCAGTTTGCCCAGGGCATTCTTGTACGCCGCCAGATGCTCGGCGTCATGGTGTGAAGCCGTTCCGTCCTCTTTCCGTGCTGGCAGTATGTTCTGTTTCGCTGCTGCACGCGTTCTTTTTGTTGTCGTCCTATTTTGTGATGTCTTCCCTCTCTTATTTTCCTGCCCCTCTCTCCTTGGCACTTGCTCACTGTCATCTGCTTTAGCCGCTTTCTCTTGCAAGCATTTCGTTCTGACCCGCCCTGTCTGTTTCGTTATCGTCCTCCTTAAGCGTGAGGCGTCGAAAGTTCGGGACAGGTTTCTGGAACGCCAGGTGTCCCCAGCTTTGCCAGGAATGCCCAGATGGCCTCGGTAGCAAATCATGGGAGCCTGGCGTGCCCTCTCAATTCAGTCGTTAGCGTCGATTAGCGTCTGTTAGCGTCTGAGAGTCGATGGGATAGCGTCGATTTTGCGTCGATTAGCGTCGCTTAGCGTCGATTTAGCATCGAGCAGCGTCGATTTAGCGTCGATTAGCGTCGATTCGCAAGAGCCGACAAGAGGGTATGGGAGGCTCCCAAAGGTTGCCACCGAAGGTTTCTGGAGCGGGCCAGCTATCTCCAGCTTTGCTGGGAAGGCCAGATGGCCTCCAGAGCAACCGTCGCGAGGCCTCGGGGCCCCAGGGGGCTCCAGGACGGCGCGAGAAGCAGGGGGCACCTGGGGCCAGGATTAACGTTTGGCAGCACCCGATTCCTCTCCTCAACACTGCCCCTGGCCCTCTTCGCAGCCACCGCTCCCGCAGCGTCCGTGCCAGGCGTGACGGTGCCCGAGAGTCCTTCCGTGAGCAAATCCGCGAGGCGGGGCCGGGAGGGAGGACTCATAGGTAAAATGGCGGAGGGAAGAATGACGGGGAGTGTGGCGGTTGAGGATGATGATGCTCCATTTTGTATTTTGGCCAGAATGTATTCTCGATGGATCACAGCCGAGCTCTGACGTGTGACGCTGCACAGCAAAACTGATTACGCCATATCTGACCAACTGCTGCACTGCCAACTGATTTAGACATGCAATGTACTGGGTAAGCAGCACCCGAGCAAAAGGCAGAAGCTGGGGACGGCCGTTGGGCTCGAAAGACTGCTTGAGCAAAAGCGGTTGTGGCGAGAACATAAAGCATTCACCATTGCTCGCGTATGCTGCCTCATTCTCTTGTTTTCTACCTAGGCCAGGATATATCCTCGATGTGATTACGGTCGAGCTCTGACGCGTGAGGCTGCGCAGCAAAGCTAAGCAGGCAAGATTTTTCCAACTGCCAACGCCCGCCAACGTCTGCGACCTGGCGATTGAGGCGGCCCATTCCTTATTCTAAGTGCGAGAGGCTATCCTGTATGCAGCGAGGCCAAAGAGCGATGAGGCCACTGGGGTATAACTCCGCCACGAGGGTCTACAGGAGGCCCCATATTGGTACTTGCAGCAAATCTGATTGCAGACGGGAGTAGAGCACTGAGCTGCCAGCGGAGAGGGAAATCAGACTTGCTGGGATTGCCAGCACGCCACGGCCGTATTGACACGCAGGCTGCCTGCACAGCCAAGGGCGAGCGGACGCACACACACGGACAGTGCGGAGCGTGCTGCGCAAAAGGGTGTTACGAAGGCGGACCTTTTCGGCGTCCTGGGCCAGCAGGTCTGGCAGGCCCCTGGGCACTGGATGGAGCGAAACGGGTGTCCCTGGAGTCCCGAGGCTGTCTCTCTCCGGGCCGCGCAACAAAAAGCTGCTGGAGGGCGTGCCCAAATGGACCGATTGGGCCCTTGGCACTTTTGGCGGAGAACGTTACGGATTACCCTATCGCGTGTGATGATGGCGATGATGAGTCTGATGATGGTGGTGCCGCTGCTGCTGCTGATGATGGAATGTATTATTTTGATGACGAGGATGTCGATGATGCTGATGATGTTGTTGTCGATGTTGTTGCTGCTGCTGCTACAGTTGTCGTCGTCGTCGTCGTTGTTGTTGTTGTCGTTGTTGTTGTTGTTGTTGTTGCTGTTATTGTTGTCGTTGTTGTTGTTGTTGCTGCTGTTGATTTTGTTGTTTCTGTTGTTTTTGTTTTGTTGGTATTTTTGTTGTTGTTGTTGTTGTTGTTGTTGTTGTTGTTGTTGTTGTTGTTGTTGTTGTTGTTTTTTTTTTTGTCAGTTGATTGTTGTTTGTTGTGTGTTGTTGTTCGTTGTTGTTGTTGCTGCTGCTGCTATTGTTGTTGTTGCTGCTGCTGCTGGCTGCTGCTGCTTCTGTCACTGCTGCTGTTGTTGTTGTTGTGGTTGTTGTTGTTGTTGTGGTTGTTGTTGTTGTTGCTGTTGTTGTTGTTGTTGTTGCTGTTGTTGTTGTTGTTGTTGTTGTTGGTTGTTGTTGTTGTTTTTGTTGTTGATGCTGTTGTTGTTGTTGTTGTTGTTGTTGTTGTTGATGTCTTGTTGTTGTTGTTGTTGAACATTATTTCTTCTTAAGAATAATTATTGTTGGGACCCCTGGTGCGCGACCCCCCCGCCGCGCCTAGGCCGCAGCCTCATTTTCATAATTTTCGTGAGGAAGTCTCAGGCAAAACGATTGTTACCGGATCCGGTTTTTTGTTGTACTCCGTTTTCCCTTGCAAAAAACACTATAAAATGAAAATTCTTGTTCTTACTTGATCAAATTGCAAGAATCCCTTGCAAAAAATAAGGTAAAGTGGACATTCGTGCGCGCAAGACGAAATCCTTCCAAAACCTTAGGTTTCGTAGCGATTTTAACATAAAAACATCAAAAACCCAATGGTTTTTTAAGAAAAAATTGTCAAAATGTCCTTCCGCGCGCGCTGTCCGAATCCCACAAAACCAATGGTTTTTCAACATTTATGTTACATGAGCTCGCGCGAGCTACTTTTTCTTGTTCTAACATAATCAAATTTCAATAATCCCTTGCAAAAAATAAGGTAAAGTGGACATTCGCGCGCGCAAGACGAAATCCTTCCAGAACCTTAGGTTTCGTAACGATTTCAACATAAAAACATCAAAAACCCAATGGTTTTTCAAAAAAAAATGTCCAAATTTCATCCCGCGCGCGCTGTCCGACTCCCACAAAACCAATGGTTTTTCAACATTTATGTTACATGAGCTCGCGCGAGCTACTTTTTCTTGTTCTAACATAATCAAATTTCAATACTCCCTTGCAAAAAAAAGTAAAGTGGACATTCGCGCGCGCAAGACCAACAAAAAACACGACGATCTCAGGAACTTGCCCCAAAAATGTGACCAACTCCGCTCTCTCTGTCTCTCTCTCTGTCTGCTCTCTGTCTCTCTCTCTGTCTGTCTGTGTCATGTATTGTATGTCACAATTGCAGGATGCTGGGCACACGCGCGCCCCGAATAAGTGACCAAGTTCTGTGGGTGTGTACCCCACGCCAGTGTAGTAGCCACGGTCGTCCGCACGCCACGAAGTGAAGTGTCCCAACGTCATAGGGCGGGAAGCTGGGTTTGGGTGGTCGCGAAGAGTCGTTTGGATATTTGGTAGAGCTTGAACTGCCCCCCCACGAAGTGGGGGTATTGTCTCGCGTCGCATGAAAACCCTGGCACTGGTGAGAACACTGAGCGTTCGGGTAAAATGATTGTTGTTGTTGTTGTTGTTGTTGTTGTTGTTGAACAAGGCGGGTTTGAAGGTCGCCCCCCACCCCCCAGCAACCAGCAACCCAGCCCCCCCCCCCCCCCCCCCCCCCGAACGGCCTTCGGCACCCCAACCTGGGGGTAGGCTACGCCCCGTCCAGGGGGAATCCCCAGGGGACCCCTAGGATTCCAGGGTATCCCTTGTCTAAGATTCCTGAGGGAGTCCTAGGGCTTTCTCGGGATTCCCAGGGTTCTCCGATTCTTTCGGGATTCCGTGGGTCCCCAAGAACCCCCCGGGATTCCTAGGATTCCTTGATTCCATAGGATTCCCAGGATTCTCTAGGGATTCCTAGGATTCCCCAGGGATTCCATCGGATTCCTTATTATTATGAGTATTATTATCATTTACTAACTACCACTACTACCACTACTACTAGTACTGGTACCATTCGTACTACTAGTGCTACCAGTCCTCTTATTTGTACACTACCACTTCTATTACTACTACTAGTATTACTACTACTAGTACTACTACTAGTACTACTACTACTACTACTACTACTACTACTACTACTACTATTACTATTACCACTACTACTAGTACTATTCCGACTACTACTACTAGTATCACTAGGACTATTAGTACTACACTACTACTACCAGTACTAGTACTACTACTTCTACTGCTACAGCTACTCACTACTACTATCACTACTACTACGACTACTACTACGACTACTGCAGCTTACTACTACTAGTAGTGCTCCTACTAATTTGACGGCTACTACTATCCGGACCAGTATCAGGATTAGTAGTACGTACTACCAGTACTACTAGTTTTACGAGTACGACGAGTACTACTAGTGTTACTTGTATTTTTACCGTTATTCTTGCTCGTACTAATATTCGTAGTAGTAGTAGTAGTAGCAGTAGTAGTAGTAGTAGTAGTAGCAGTAGCAGTAGTAGTAGTAGTAGTAGTAGTAGTAGTAGTAGTAGTAGTAGTAGTAGTAAGTAGTAGTAGTAGTAGTAGTAGTGGTAGTAGTAGTAGTAGTAGTAGTCGTAGTAGTCGTAGTGGTAGTAGTTGTAGGAGTAGGAGTAGTAGTCAAGCTAGCCAGCTCGAGCGAGTCAAGCATGGCATGCCCAGTCCCACCCGCCCTCCCACAACATAAGAAGCAAAGCTGGCACAACTGGGGGCCGAAGTCACACCGGCCAGCCGGTTTGGTACAGCTGATGCGGCCGCGATGGCGGTTGCCGACGGGAACTGGCGAGCGCGTGTTGAATGCCGCGCACGCATTGCCAGACGAGTCGAGAATGGCCCGGTACACCGCAGGAAGCCAGAGGTGGCCGGAGGAAGCCCGACGGTCTGACAGGACACCCCAAAGCATTTTTGTGAAAAAGCATTGGGTTTTTGATGTTTTTATGTTGAAATGCTTGCAAACACACGGTGTTCGGTAGGATTCTGACATGAACGCGCGAGTGTGCTCTTTGTGGTATTTTTTGCACAGGATTCGCGGCCTGGGTGCATGACAGAGCATCGCGAGTGCACCGCGCGATGACGTGAAATCGCTGGATTTGACCGAATTCTTAAGATTCCTATGGTTTTCCTATGATTTCAGCAAGAGAGCCCGGGCGGGAAATTTGTACAATTTTTGTGAAAAAGCATTGGGTTTTTGATGTTTTTATGTTGAAATGCTTGCAAACACACGGTGTTCGGTAGGATTCTGACATGAACGCGCGCGTGTGCTCTTTGTGGTATTTTTTGCAATGGATTATCGCCGTGGACGACAGGACGTCCATGTCGAGAGGAAAAAATAAGAAAAATGTTGATTTTGTATTGTTTTTTACAGGTTAGGATGGGACCCCCCGGATGCGGCCCCTAATGGCCGGCCTGAGGGGGGAGTAGGAGTATATTCTAATAAGGAATAAGGATAGGAGTAGTAGTAGTAGTTTTAGTAGCAGTCGTAATAGTAGTAGTAGTAGTAGTAGTAGTAGTAGTAGTAGTAGTAGTAGTAGTAGTAGTCGTAGTAGTCGTAGTAGTAGTAGTAGTAGTAGTAGTAGTAGTAGTAGTAGTGGTGGTAGTAGTAGTAGTAGTAGTCGGAGGAGTAGTAGTAGTAGTAGTAGTAGAATTTGTATTAGTAGTAGTAATAGTAGTACTAGTAGTCGTAGTGGTAGTAGTAGTAGTAGTAGTAGTAGTAGTAGTAGTCTTAGTAGTAGCAGTAATAGTAGTAGTAGT